CAACAGCATGACACTTTATCATCACTGCATGAAGAAAGTGGACATGAAATATCCACCCGGATACTCACAGTTGGACATAATGACTGATTGAAATGGCTCACGACCTTGTTTGGTGTACCTCGGTATGCACCCTTAGAAAATCTCATACTTTCATGAAGACTTGGTTCTAATTCTTGTTTCCATGGATATCCACTTTGTGTGCATGAGCTGAAAGTTGCATCCATGAACTTAGGACCCCCTAGCATGTTGGATGCCCCTGGTGTAACCTTCCTTTCATGGCCTTCACAAGCAAAGACATCCATTCTATCATTATACAAGCAGTGTCTTGAACTTGGTGTGACTGTGTGACTATTGGCGCTGGAATAATGTGTCAATTCATTGTCACAATTGACAACTGAATTAGGTGAAGATAAACCACCATAAACTGCATTGTTTTCGTAAAGTTTTCTAGGGTAGATAAACTGCGTTTCATGTGCAATTTCAGGGATGTATGTTTGAAAATCCTCGTAGCAAGCCCGTTCAAAACTTGACATTTGATGATTCCCAGAAGCAACATTTGACCTCACAACACCATGACACTCACTCGTGGAATTAATCTTCGAGAACTGATCACAGGTCGATAAAACTTTAACTGCTGGCTCGTATCGCTCACTGTGAAAAGAAGAAAGAGTACTTTTACGAGAACTGTTCCCGATAGTCGCGCTTTTCATACTAGATCTCTCTTTCCCTGGCGCCAAGCGAGAAATGCCTTCACACCCGAGTTCACTCTGAACGTACTTTCGAGGTAATTCCATCACTGTTTCGGGGCTATGTCTTGGTTTAAAGTACCAGGAAAGTTACCACACTATACCATAACTCTTAAAAATAACCAATGTGTTCCGAAAACATTTTAAACGAAGGATACCATCCGAAAAACGTTGTCACCGATAAAATTTTTTTACCGTGGCTACTGAAATATTTTTGTTCGAGCTGACTAACTAATTCAAGCGCCAAATTTAAGGATTAATTCAGGCTTTGTTAAAATACACTAGGAGTTCTTTGATTTTGTGCAAATGAAGTCTTGAAAGCGCATAAAGACAATGTGTCCATTGTTAAGTGTCTTACCTGTTAATTTTGGTTCTCTAGGAAATTTCTCTTTACACAGCGTTTAAACAATGGCGAAATAAGTCCATCGCGTCCCATGTGAATCAGCTGAGGTTGTAAAGGAAATTAAGTGGCAACAGATTATCTGACGTCTGGAAGAAATCTAAGGAGCTTGATAAACGACGGACTGGGACAATTCAATGAAGACGTTTCCGAAGCACAGATGTGTGGTACACCTCCACTTTGCGTCAGTTTATCATTCACAAATCGCGTGCAAATCTCGCGGGAATTGACTTCACGAGCCCACGCTGCTCGTGTCAGCGACAATGTACAAGTTCCCAGATTCACTGCTGAAGGGGCGGGGAGCAGCCTTTTCCAGGTTTTTTTTTTCTTTTTTTTTTAAAGCGTATAGAGTGGTATGTATCTCGCACCAATCAGACTGCCACATTAGGGTATGTATCTCGCACCAATCAGGTTGCCGCATTAGGGTATGTACCTCGCACCAATCATATCCAAGCATTTGGATATCTTGCACCAATCACAGCGTTTGGATATTGTTTTCTTGTAAATGATGTCATGGATTAGGGAGCTGTGCACAAAGAATGTTAAGTGTAATGGTTTGTGGCCTTCGCGAGAACCTCGTTGATAAAGGTCGAGATTTATTGGGATATGAAAGGTTCCCCTTTAAATTTTAAAGTTAAAACGTGTTTTTGCCGCTCCTTTACTCACAACGCATACGCCAAACAACTTACATTCCATCAAGTACCATGAAAACAACTTCCAAAGTCTAATCAGAACATACCCAATCACTGCACTACATGAACATTAAGCAATTTTTCACGTGATTGAACTGTATTCCACTAATCAAATTCCAATTTTTCCACATAAGACTTCGCACTGAGCCCAGTTGTATAAAGGGCGGATAACACTATCCAACGAATAAATCGCTATCCAGCGGGTAAGTGATAGCAAAACGTATAGCGTTATCCACCCAACCTTCGAACAACCGGGGCCTGGATTTACCACGTATTCTAAACGCATTGTCCAACCCCACTGAAAAAAATTAACATAAAACTAAATACTTCTGATATTGGATTTTCCACGCAATTCTCTCGCGTTTGACTTTTTTGACGAGTTAAAGTCGCTTTAAGCTCCCTTGGACTTAACCCAATTGCCGGTTAATTCCTTGTAAAACAACAGGCATTTTATCACGTATTTAACACACAGAGGGCAAAGTCCAGATAGGCGACAACCAATCAAGGACCCCCTCTTTCAAATAGTATCGTTTTCTCTTGTTCAATGTATCTTCACTTACTCGAGATCGCAATATATCTTTGGTCAGGGTCTATTTGAGGTACAGCAGAGTTTCAGTTTGCTTTTCGTGGTAAAATTACTCGAAATTATATTTTTGAGGTAACTAACTGTAAACGAATAGTTTTGATTTTTTTATCTGTTAGAGGGACGGCAGTTGGCGTATTCTCTTTCGCAACCGTGAAATAGAGGGCGTTGTGTGACGAGACCAAACAACGGCTGCGAAGGAGACAACAGTAAACGTGGCACCGATGTATTTCATTTCTTAGAAGTGTTTAGATAATAGAGACAGTAGACCACATAATATCTGTGTGAGTTCAGATAAATTAGGTTTTTTTTTTCTGTCTTTCGAATTTATGCGATATTTTCGTTTTAAAAGTTATGCTCTTTTCGGTGACAAAAACGAAAACATTAAGTACACAAACTGTCCCACCTCAATCCACCCAGCCGAATAAATAACTCTTGCATGCTACGCATGCCTATGTTTTCAAATACTTCAAACGACTCAGTGACGTGAATATCATGCCCATCTCGAAGCTCTGAAGCCTTTTCTTTTACTTTACATAAATTGATTTGTGCTTCAAAGTCTCTGCAAAACATTTTGTAGCCTTCAGGGAAGAAGTAAGGAAACTTTCACCCTCGATGCAGGCAGCCGATAAGGCTGACATGAAAAGGCAGTCACAATCAAGACAATTAAAGCGAGCTCAGGCGAAGAGAATTCAAAGTTTGAGTGATTAAAAGATAATTCAAGCGAACAAGGAGATACTGCTTAACAAAGCTGAGAAAACTTCTGCTTCCAGAGGTACCGTCCGAGTGAGCTAATGAACAGTTTTGTAATAAGACCTTGAAAGAGGTGGAAACTTTGTTGTAAGGATAAATTGCGTTTTTCCGCTGTTTATTTTCATGGTAATTGTTGCTCCAAAATAATCAACTAATCCCGCAGTGCGAGAAAAGCTTAAGGGAAAAAGCTCGCAAATACCCACTGTTCTTACAAGGAGTGGTTTCGAATACAAATATATTCATTTTTTAAGACCCTCTAACTTCTATGATGTTCCTGTCCTTCGTCATGACTTTTGTACAAGATTCGGTCGACGACAGCTTTTTCAGGCTAACACTTTGACCAAGGTACGTGTCATTCAACACTTTGCATTTACTTGTCGATCCCTCACAATTATCGTACTAGAAACTCAATGATATTAGAAGATAAATTCTTACTATTTATGTAAGAAAAAAAAAGTTAATTACTTTACTAGCTGAATTCATCGAATATTTGTTTCAAAATTCCTGGGTTGGAAGCAGAATTATTTTACCGTCGAGATTCGTGACTCCTGTCTTTTTCTAGCCCAATGATTCATGATTCATCAAAAACTTTGTGAAATGTTCATGATTTATTTGACTTTATCTGGTAATTCATGATTTCCAGGTGTAAAACGTGAAAATTCATGAATCGTGAGTCTAATTTAATTGCCACGATACACGGGTTCATGTATCCGCTTCTACCCCCATTAGATTATTACTCTGCTTGATGACTCCGCTTTTCTAGTTTACAGTGAATCTCACTTAATCCGAAGACTACTAAGCTCGGTGAAATGATTGGCAAAGAGAAACGTCGAACTGTATTTTGCAATGTTTTTCATTCTCAGGAATAATTTGTATGGCTTGGAAGAGCCCGAGTGTTTTTCTCTGATTGTGGAAAATAAAATGTATAGATGTTCTTTATGAAAACAACATATTTAATGAAATGGATGCCAGCCTTGAAAAATTATAGATGTCTCGTATTGGCAATTCGTGGCTTTTTAATTAAGCAGTGTCACAGACAGACAGACATTTTAGACAGAGAATGTAAATTGGCCTTCATCACGAAAGTTAAGAAGTTCTGAGCCAATTGATGCAAATGAGGTTAATATATTAAATTGTAATAATACGCCATACATCTTCATTTTAGCTTCGAATGTATGCCATAAAAAGAAAAAAAAATCCTCCTCGTGTAAGAAGTTTTCCGTTTTAGGGTGGACATGAAGGAGAAAAATATTCTACAACGCACGAATCGCTGATAGGAAGTGTCATCTGACAGTTGAATTCCTTGGAATCAAAAAGTGATAAATTGTAGTCGTATTTCAAAGCTTTTACTCATACACATTGTGTATATAAAGGGTCGACCCGAAGACGCCAGTGCCCAGTCATTTGACAAAAGGGGCACTTAATACTTATGTATTATTTAGTAAGATTACATTGAAAATGTGTTGATCAAGTTTTTCTGGATAATGTGGTGGCAAAAACTAACAAATGACTTCATGGATTAAGGAAAATACAGCATTTGAATTTTTTCCTGGCAATTTGATTTGGGAAATTTGGAAGGGCTCATATAAAAAAAACAGCACTGCCATTTTTAATAGGGGGGAGGATTTTGCCCTATTTTTTACGAGCATCTCTATCCCACCACCCTCCCTAGACTGGGGCCAACATTGTGTCTAGCTCTGAGCTGGCAGAGCGGCCCCCCTCACCCACTCGCCCCCGCTTAATTTTCCCTTGCTCCTCCCACTTTTTCGCTCGTCTCGACAAACAGAGTGCAAGGAAAATGCCACTCTTTACGCTGAGTGTGGCACAGTATTACTTGAAACGCACAGCGAAGTGTTTTGCTAGAATTATTAGTGGTTGAAAGCTCTTGTGTTGAGTTGATTTAAATGCGACCCGCTGGGGAAAGGAAGTATTACTAGGAAATGAAGCGTGGTAAATGCCGAAATTTCAATCTTAAATTCTTCTTTTTTTAATGTACACCATGTTTGAAAAGTGATTGATCGGGTGATGAAAATAACACACGGCTTCGATCTGTTAAAATAATTTAAACGCAGAAGCAGCTTTACTTACTTCGCACTCAAGAGAAAAAGTATTTTTGGACCTTAGGGTTGCCAAAGCAATAAATTATGAAAGGTGGGATGATGAAGAAAATAATTACCCAAAAGCATTAATTGAACATATTCGTTTACACAACCTTCGTATTGCCATGGATTATATGGCATTTAAGGTTGTAAAACAACCAGCAGGGCATTATTATGTTAAGTTGTTTCTTTTGTAATTTCTGCAAACAGAAATATAGCAACGGAGTTATTCATCCGAACCACAGATCAATTACTGTTGACAGCTGTTCCCTGGTAACGGATGTAAACAAGCATAAACAGCGAAGGCTACTCGTCTACCCGGTTGAAACACAAAACAAACGCACGCGTGACAATCACTCTCTCATCTACCAAACGCAGTGGTGCAGAAAAGCCTTAAAGAAACAGTCGCTCATCTCACAAAGAAAACAGAGGAAACTCTATTTTATCGTAAGCCGCTATGGGTTGTTCTTCAAGCGCACAGGCGCGAAACGTTGAGAGAACTCCGCAACCAGTTCAGGTCGCTGCTGCTCAAACGGCCGCGAACCAAGGAGGATCTGAGATGTCACCCCAAGCAAACGTCGCTCCCACGAAACCCGTGAAGATCGAAAGTACAACAACTGCAGAAAATAACCAGGTGGTAAATGATCAGAAAGATGCCCCAAGCACAGGTAACTGAATGTACAGACTGCTTTAAGTGGTTTTTCCCGGGAAGAAATAAAGGTTCAGTTTTCCTAAGAATCGAGTGGTGTCAGTTGTTAAGATGCTTACGCTTCGATTCAACATCTGCGCGACAATGAAATCTGATATTTTTTTACTGCGGTTTGGGGAGCACACAAAAATAAAGAAGTGGTAATTCGTCCTCGCACTACCCTTTAATCGTGATTTCTAATAGGATTTAACTGGCTTATTGTGAAATAAACCGTCGTTAAACTGAGAATTTAAAGGTCATTTTTGATGCCGGGAAATAAATAAAGCGCCATCTCAGAATAAATTGCTATATTGGCGCGCTGATCGCGATCAATGATACACCGTCCTGTTTTAAGTTTGTATGTACCAGTTGGAGACATATTACTTGAATTCAAAACTATATAGCGGGAAATCGTTTTACTTCAAGAAGGAAAGAGCGGACATGTGAGAAATTAGAATACAAGCTTCTTATCAAATGAGAGATATTCTGACGTGTTTTAGCATGTGTCCTCTAACCATGCTAATAAAGAACGATTCATAGTCGGAAAGCGATTAATTTTAGTGTGGACACATAAAGTAAACTTTAAATCCTCAGCACGCATAATTGAAAGACTCTACGACTCGTACTAACCATATTTCTGAAACCTTTCATTTTTTTTTTAATCAAAATTCAATTTTTAGTAGGGAAAAAACACCAAAACCCTTGTCATGATATACCAGCTGATATAAAATGGGAATAAAGGCGAAATGAAAATCATTTTAAATGCGCTTGATCTTCTAGATTAAAACTGACAATTGGAAATCCCATGTGTTTATACATCCAAAACTTCAGTTTGCATTGAACAAATACAATATACGGCTTTAGTGTGGCGAACCTCGAAATACATATCCTTCTATGAAAATCTTCACAAATCGAAGCAATTTTTTTCAGTTGCAAAAAGCACATTTAAATATTTTTCCCCAGTAGTGAACAATAATATTTAATCAAGCACGGTAGAAAGGAATAAAATGAACAAATGGTTTGTGATTAGAAAACTGCAACAGTTGCCATGGTAGGAAATGAATTAAGACTAAACAATATATATAGCCGTATCAGAAGCGTTTTTTTAATTGCGCAACGGATTTCTTGTAAATTAAACTTGTTTTGTCTAAATCTCAACTCTAATCAATACCACGAAATTGTTTTTATTTCGATAAAGCTAAATAAGCATTAAGCATGTTCGAGAGGACGATGTAAACCGTGTCGTGTTTTGTTTCATTGGTTTTTATTTATTTATTTTTTCACTTGTCTATTCTGAAGTGTTTGTTTCAAGACAAAAGTGTTTTTAAAATTTTTGTCATGAGATACAAATGAATAGTTGCTATCGATATCATGCTGGAACAAAGCTTGTCAGCAGTTTCTTCCTTTTTATGAGTGGAGAGAAATCGTTCATCCGTGTAGCCTTTGAGCTAAATTATTCATTCAGCTAAATTGTCAACAACTTTTTAGGTCTTGAGTTTTGCTTTCCCGAACGAAAAAAATTCGATCGTCAGAAATTTGTTCCTTCGTCAATTTGCTATTTTTCTGTGTAGTGAAGAAGGCTACTTTATGCACAGTCGTTTTCGACGAAAACAGTCGAAGTAAAAGAGTATTTAATGTCTATACTTCATTGCTAGACGACCATAAGTTACTCTGAATAAGATAAAAAACAGCTGCCAAGCGTTGGATAACTTTGTACCACTAGCGCTTTTGCACTATGTCGGTGACGAAAAAACGAACAACTGAGAAGTGACAGAGAAAAAAATCAGAATGGTATACTTAGTCTGGGAGTTATCAGATTTCTTTTGCGACACTATTAGGAGATATCTATGGAGTACAGAAATTTGCCTTGTCAACCTTTAGGCGCTGTGTTTTGGTAGAGGATTTTGAGGGAATGAACCAGCAAGTGTAAACGCGCCTTACGTGTTGTAAGGTGGGAAAACTCGGCTGCAAATGAAGTATTGTTACAGCTGAAATACCTAACTCCTTAGCTGTGCCTCTAGTGGAGTTATCATTGGCCAATTCTGCGCTTGCATTGACAGGAGCAATTCTCTGGTTTCGAAATAATTTGCAAGTTTTATTTCAGATTTTATCCATTAGTTGCAACTTTTAAAAAACCAACCCCAGAAATGTTGAAGCGGGTTATTGATGCGTTACTGTCGAGGAAACGTATGGAATATTTGAAATGATACTACTGGCTAAACGTGAATGCATGTTTATTGTTTTATTTTTATTTCAGAGCAACCAACTCAAGTAGATGGTAAACCACAAAGTTCCGTTCCCGAGAAAGCGAGCGAGAACGAACCGCGAGAAGATCCTCTCGGTGAAGAATCGAGACCTGAAGTAGTGGAGGAATCTCAACAAGAAGTTGTACAAGGAAAGAAAGACGAACAAGTTAAACCACAGGAAGAGGAGGCGAACAAAGACAAAGGAGGAGAACAGAGTGGATCAGGCGAAGAAAGCACGGCTCCCAGTAAAGACGAAGAACAAACTCAGCAACCGGCTGAGAGTGAAGTGAACGCCGAGGCCGCAGCGGAAAGCAGCGGTAGTGATAAACCTGATGTTCAGCAAGTAGAGGAGCAGAATGAAGCTATGAAAACAGAGGCGCAAGAAGGAACTGAAAGAGAACCAGAAGTAGCAAAGGAAGGTGAAGAGGCGGCTGCACAAGTGGACGGAGAAACGCCATCACAAGCAGAAAACGCAGAAGAGATGCCAGCTGCTGCTGATCAAACACAGCAATCGCAACCCGCAGCCGAAGAATCTAAACCTGCGGAGGAAGAATCACAACCAGCGGCCGAGGAAACAAAACCTGAGGAACAAGAAGCGCAACCTGCGCCTGAAGAAGCGAATCCTGCGGCCGAAGAAGCGAAGCCCGCTGCCGAAGATTCGAATCTTGCGGCTGAGGAATCAAATCCCGCAGATGGAGAACCTCAAGCCGACGAACAGCAAGCAGCTGAAGAACCGCAAAAAAGCGAAGAAGCGACACCGCAAGAGGAAACACCGGCTAGTGAGGACAGTTAAGAATGTATTGGGTTCCCGTAAAAACAGTGAACGCCTATCATTTCACGTAATTTTACAGTCTGGAACTGTACACAAAATCCTTGTCCACGTAGGTTCTTAAGGTGGACAACTCTATCCAGTGGTTAAATTTCTATCTTGTGGATAGTGTAGTACGTTTTGTAAGCACTTATCCGCTGGATAAAGATTTATCTGCTGGACAGCTTTATCTATCGTTCGAAAAACTGGGTTCTGAAGCATGACCCTTTTTACCATAAAGGTTTTACGTATCTATGTATTCAGAGACACAGGCCTTGAGAAGATCTGTTGAATCTGAATCAGTAATTACAGCTTTTATCATACACAAGGTTTACTTGAATACATATCGGCAAAACAGTAAATCGTCACTCTAGTAACACCAAACCTAAAAACATTAAAATCAAAATAAAACACACAAATCTAAGTTTAACGCAAGATAAAATACTATGTATTTAAAAGAGAAGGAAAGTTTTACCTTATGAAATAGAGCAAAAGAGATTGATATTTTGTAAGTGTTGAGAAATCTGATAAACTGAATATGATTAGATCATAAGACTTACGTATCAAAAGAACCAGTAATTTTCACTATTTCTCGGTGCCTTACAATTACTTCCCTATGACAGAAGATAATAGTTTACACTATAAATAAGCTGAGGCATGTGGATATGAAAATTGATTGTAAATACTGAAGAAAGCAGAACTTGATTTATTTCTGTAGTATAATTGTACGTAGACTGTGATTTTCTAGAGAGGAAAATTAGTAACTCATATGTGTGAAGGTCTGGGTAAAACATCGATTTAGCTAAAAGAAATCTTGATCACTGATGATGCTATAGTATAGTTTGTAGTAGATAACATACTGACGAGTTTAATGACAGGAAACATTGTTCAAATACTACAATGATTTTCTTAGATGATTTGTAAACAGCTGTGAAGAACAGTTTTTGACTCTTTCCGGTCAAGGTTTTCAAACTGTTGTAACTGTTTTTGTTAAATGAAATAAAACTCAGTTCTATGTCGGAGTTGATAGCGTTTCCTTCTCCGCTTCTCTCGTTACCGTATCGAAACTCCATGTGGTTCAGTTTAATCACCGCTTGTTTATGTGCAAGTAGTTTGTGTAAGCCCTCCTAAGTTGACTTCACAAACCAAAGGACTACTACTACTACCCCAACGATTGCAAAGAAACCGACTGACAGGCGTCGACAGAGTGCTTTTCGATTGAGTGTCGTCAAACCAAATCCAGAGTTATCACAACAGCCAATCAGAACAAGGGAAAATAGCTTCATGAGTCAATGAGAAGGCACAGTGAAAACGAGTAAACTGCGTAAAGCGCGGGAAAACGCTTATGAGCGAGGCGCGATTGGTTTTGGTTCTGCATCTGATTGGTTGCATGGGGGAGGGGCGCGTGTTTTCTAGACCAATCACGGAGCGAAGTAAAGCTAGCTTAGAGCAATTCGGGACTGACCAGGATTGATTTCGACACTCATTTGAAAATTACCGACCCTGAAAGTCCGCAATTGAATTGATTTTGCTGTGCCTTGCTCTGTGATTGGTCTAGAAAACTCTTTCCAGCATCCCAACCAATCAGATTGAAAACTCAAACCGGATTAATCATGACACTCGAGAACCGTTCTGCACCACTCAACGAGAGGATCTTTATTGACATATACTGAGGTTTATCAAAAAAACGCTTCTGGCTCTAAAATTTTTACATATCATTGAATATCACCCAACATCTCCATGCCATTACAGCTTACTTGCAGTGACCTAAACCAGGGCAAAGAAGAAATCCTACCGTAAGAAGAAGGCAAATAACTTCGACGTTGCCAAAAAAGCATAAGAGGATTTGAGCGTTAGTCCTTTGTCTTTCGCTCTGGCGAAGGGTTAACGCTTGAAACGTAAGCTTTGAACTCTTCACAGTGGCCAATTTACGTTATCAACTCAGTTGATAATACTAACTTAGCTTTTTATCCTCTCCCACAGACGCAGCACCACAGTTTCTTTAGAAATATATCCCCTGTATTCACGACTTTTATCACCCGCGTTTTTCGATGCCTTGAAGAGATGGCTTGCTTTGACTTTGAATGGTCAATGCGGGCTCGTTGCGATAACTACGGCCCTGGATTTACGACACTAAATAGACATGCACTCTTAATAGCAACTGGTCCTAGTGGATAGTGATCCATTTTCCTAACACCTTATTTCCAAGTAGAGATTTATCCACTAAACAGCGCTATCTACCTGGTTGGGACAAACTAGTTAGGTCTCAGCGACAAACCAGCGATTCGTGCGTCGTGTCACCGCAACAAATCGCTGCGACTAATGTATCGCTGCAAACGTTATTTTTTAAACCTACTTTAACTTGTGCTACCTATGGTGGCGAAAAAAATTCTGTCGCAAAGCCAAAGATTTAAATTTTTCTTCCATGTCCCCCGCGACGAGTTGCAGCAATTTTTTTGTCTGGTGTCTTCTGACAATAAAACCTTCCTAATCAACCCTGATAGAGAGACCCAGCTCAAATTTATACGATAATAAACAGTGATGGGAACAAAAAGAGGAAACACGTATCGAGCCACGTTCTTGTTACAGATTATCTAATCACCCTCAAGAACGTCAAGAGCCTCCAGGGTTTGTTCCTCTTCATCACACGAGGCGTAAAGAGATTTTAGAAGAACAAAATTGCGTGAGAGCGGACCGAGGCTAACTCGACTACACGCAGAATAAGCTTTCCACGAAGCTTAACGGGGTCTTCATCATATGGGTTTTTCTAAATATTTTGTTAGTTCCCATATTATTTTTGTAAAAAAAAAACCTGATCGAAAAAAGAAGAAAATCATCAAATAACCAAGTCTGAAAAGGCAAAAACATTTATTTCACACTAGTGACTTCGTTTGGAGCATTCATCATTCCCTACCCGTTACAAAGTTTAAGCGAGTTTACACTTCCCTCTTTTTAAACTCACAGAAGATTCTAAACTTTCTTTATAGTTTGGATTAGTTTGTGTCTTTATCGTAGTACCACATCAATGCCTACTCATCCTTTACCTCACCCACAATCGCAACTGCTTCTATCTCAACTTTTCCATACTGAAAAGAAATATATAAAAAATTCCTTATTTCAGTGTATCTTTACCTTGGGAGTCGCGCGAACTATGATCTGGGACCCATGCAGTATTTTCCAGGATGTGGATACCAAACCAACATCTTAATACCGTTTGGGGGCACGCCAGGGTTTTTACTGCTACAGAGAGTTTTTAATCGAGCATCGAAAGTAAACCAGGACTGAAAACCCAGGCCACCCTCTTAGCTAATCAGATACAAAAGATACGCCAATCGCGACCAGAACCTTATAACATAAGCTTATATCGCGATATGGTCACTCACGTTTCCCCGCGTATTTTCTCTCGCGTTTTCACGCGCGTTACCCAGCTTGGTTTTTTTCACTTTGAGTTTTCATTAGCTCCTTGTGTTATGTACCTTGTACTTTGGTTTTTGGTTTCAAGGCATTCAATTGAAACGCCTTTTGTGAAAAGTATCACTTTTTCTAGACAGAGAGGGGCAAGGTGTACCCTGGGAGCCTTCCCCTCTACTACCCTTGACAGAAAAAGGAAAAAAAGGTAAATTTTCTGATGGATGAAATGTTTATTACCTTGGGAAGATTTCCTACTTGATAGGCTGCCCTTGCTGGCTGTTTTGAAGTGAAAACTGTGAAGAATAAACAATATGGAATGCTTTCCTTCACTAAAAGCCAATCAGAGTACAGTGCAACCCTTAAAACTTTTACTCACAAGATCTCATTAGTAATTTTCCTCGTTGTCTGCCATACAATTATAGTGAAGTTAGTTTGGAGAATTTGATATTGGATTGACTAATTAATCTCATTAGGTTACCCTCATTATTGCAGGCAACCCTGTTTGAACTCTGGCTGAGGAGAGTCATGGAGTGATGAGTCTTAACACTGAACACAATGGAAACTCTGGCCAGGACTCATTCCCAGACCCTTCAATCCTGACTCTACTAAGCTATCCAGTTGATCACCATGAATCCCACTATATAGACAAAAACCATTTAAACCTTTAAAACCCAGAAGTGATTAACATGTAACTTCTCCCTACAAAATCCAAACAGTATTCAGCAGAAATGCGATGAGAATACTAAAACTTATCAGGTAGGAGTAGTGATCTTGAACTAACACCAAATTCTGGTAACTCAGTTATAGGGAAACTTCTAGAAGCTAGTAGGGAGAATTAACAATCAGATCTTGGGAGTTAAAGGGTTAACAACCGTTACAATGAAAATCACATCAATGACAGGTAAACTCACAGGTGGCATAAACCTCATTCACTTTGGCAAAGTCTCCAATGTCCGCCAATAGAACGGTGGTCTTCACAACTAAAATGTAAATTTTGCTTGCATATTAGAAACATGCCATGATTAGTTTGCTAAAATTTGACAGTCCAGATCTGATGATTTCCCTTACATTTGTAAATCAAAAGCTCACAAAATAATTTACAAGAATTGGTGCAAGTGCTTCTAACTTGATATAGATATCATTACTCAAAAGTAAAAATATTGCTTGCTGCTCGCAATTTTTTGAAGCCATTCTTTTTATTTGGACAGCAAACTTTAAATTATAATACTTATAGAATGAAGAGTATAAGACGTTCTTCTTCTTCTTCCTCTGTCACCCCACCTCTTTCTATATAGTAAATACTACTGGGTAATCTTTAAAATTAATTAATAATAACAAGGCCAGACCACAACACCAGAAGCTATATTCCTTGCTCTTTGCAAGAAGTGCGTGGGTTCATTAACCTCCCTTGCCAACCAGTACAGAGGAGATGTAGGAGATGGGGCTTATAGTTAATTACCCTTAGCTGAGAAGACCAGCAAGTCTAACCACTTACAGATGTCATAGCAAAGGTGGCACATTTGGTTATTTTTTAGACCCTGAGTGTTGGTCTGGTCTGGGGCTTGAACCCTCCCATGACCAAGTTACATACCTTTGTCAAATGAGGAGCCTCCTGCCTCCAGAATATGGCCCATGTTGGTCAGTGCCTTCATATAAACAGCATAGAAATTAATTAACCCTTTAACTCCCAAGATCTCATTAGTAATTCTCCTTACTGTCTGTCATACAATTCATATGATGTTAGTTTGGAGAATTTGGAATTGGATCAACAAATAATCCCTCAATTGATATTTTTCTTTATTCTCATCACTTTTCTGCTTGATATTGGGCAGATAGTGTAAGGAGAAATTCTATCTTGGTCACTAGTGGGACTTAAAGGGTTGATAAAAGTAAGTCTCAGGAGACAATATTGTCAATAAGGACAGAAGATGAGATAAAACTGGAATTCTTTTCATAGGAAGTGTGGTATGCTTTGTATTAAACATAATTTTGTTCAAAATACCTGCTTAGTTTGCTCTGTGACATCATCTGATACAAAATCCATAGTCTTTCCAGATGACAAAAAGACAAAATATAAAAATAATATGACAATGTTTATATCAAATTGAATAGTAAAATAGTTACAAGTACCTGTTCAAGGGTGTAGTACACATTTCTTTTTAACCCTTCTGGGATTCATATTTTTAAACAAAAAGTATCCCTGGTTTGTTATCATCAGAGTGAGTACAGTGTCTTTACAGTGGTCAGTTCAAATTTGAGCTTGAAGGGGGTTATGGAAATGACTTCTGTCAGTCTGAGACTAACACCTTGAAGTTGAAGATAATGGGTATTCAAAGTGCTACCCTGGTTCAGCAAGCTGATGCCACTGACAGACTAATTCTATATACAATCTGAACTACCAACATCATCCCCCACTGATGCCAAGGTTGCAAGAACTCTGCCCTTTGTCTTTGTAAGGAGGTGGAGGAGTGGGGGGGGGGGGGGGGGGGGGAGGAGGAGGATGGGGAATCAGGTCAAGTGGCTATAGAGTCCATAACTTCTGGTGTTTATCCCCAGTTTTTGTGGCATGAAGAGACCAGGAGTATCTCTACTCCCACTTTGGGGGGAAGAGGCTCCTTATTCATCTTAGGTAATCTCATTGAATTTTGAGGGATTTCCCTAGCATAGGAATATATTTTCCAAGAATAAAGCACAAAAAAGGAGCCAGTACTCCAATTGGGACCTCTTGATCTTGTGTCCAGCAGACTAATCACTTGGTAAACATGCCTCCCATCATGCTGTCACGTGATGCGAATTATCTTAATTTAATTATGGTTACACTCACGTTTGGGTCTAGTCCCAGCTGTCCAGACACATACATTGTTTTGTCTGCAATTACAGCTTGGCTGTTCAAAATAGGAAGGAGCCAATATGAGTCTCTTTTAGAACACTATTTAGATTACCAGCTTACCACTTTCACAGCAGTTCTCTTGGTTGGCAAGAGAACTGATGTGCAAGTTGGAAGTCATGAGTTCAAGGCCTAATGAGACTACTCAAGGTGAGGCCTCAAAAAAATGTTGTAGGTCGTTCTGGTTGTGATCGAGACTTCGTTTCAGCTCACATGATTACACATCTCACGATTGACACCCAGGAAGGGAGGGGGAAACTCCTCCACATAGGTTATGTAGGCATGCACAGCCCCAAGGAGTGTTGTTGAAGACCCCTTTTGGTCCGAAACAGGGTATCAATTTGATGCGTTTAGGTCGATCTTTCACGTCCCTCTAATTCTATTTCTCTCGATGCTACGGGCATACTCGTAACTTCTTCTTCGAAATATTTACCTGTACACACCACGAATCGGCTGAACTCCCTTAGAAGTATGGACAATCTTTCTTACAGTAGCCATGTGTAAATCTTAGGAGAAGTAACTTAAACCGAGTTGCTTCATGGACCATCGAGGGTGGAGAGGGGCAACGTTTTTGTCTCTCCTTCCTGAGAGCGACTCTCTCCGATCGCAAAGGTTTTCCAAAAAATAAACTTACAAGTTCCGTCTAAAATGAAAACTTAACGAGTACTTGAAACAATGCACGTGAGCGAGACTTTCAATTACTTATTTTTGTCTGCACATTTAATCAGTGTCGTCTGTCTTTGTACCCCGACGCACACTCCCTCGTATTTAACTTTGTTGATCTTACTTGTAAGGTCCAATGGCTCCAGGAGCTTTGGAAGTGCTTACTATTTTTCTGATTGTGGCAGCCATTCCTCTTAACATCCCTGTATAATTTATGTATATGTTGTGACACGCGATGCTACAAACCGATCGCAAAGATGGCGGGAATAATCCGAGTAACTTTCCCCAGGGGGGCGGAGAGTCGGAGTTGACAAACGAAGCGACGTATCCCCATAGAGAGGGAGAGAGTTTGAGTAAACGTCAGACTTCACTGGACAGCGGGTGTTTTTAAAGACTAAGTTTCGATAGTACTTGATGATCAACGAGGATTCAGAACGTTGCTGTTTTCCAAATCGGATGGTGAATGTCGGTCGATGATATAGCTCACAGCAAGGTCTGGGATTCTTCACTCTGCATATACCCAACCAAGATTGCAGAAGCATGGTCTGTAACATAACTAACCGGTATAATTTGACGTCTCTTCACGTACTAAACGGAAACTGCAATGGTAAGCAAATAAACGAAATGAGTTCAGTCAAAAGATAGCCCTCGATGAGGTGCTAATTGAGTTTCAAATTTCTATTAATTTTTCACTCAGTGTACAGACCTTTCCAAGTGTACACAGAGTGGAAAACTTACAAATTGGTCGCTCCTGTGAACTGGAAAAGATGTCCTCTTTGTTTAGAGAAAACTAATGGAGGTTACTGACTGATTGCAATCGATTTTGTAACCTGGGTTTTGTTTCCCAACATTTCATTAGCATCTCAGTTTCAATTTCCAATCTTTTTTTTTTTACTTTTACTTACGATCAAAGATTCCAATAATAGTATTTAAAAAATTACAGGAAATGGAATGATGAGTTCCAATGAGCAATACAGCAATGTCTTATTGTTTAGTTGCCCTTGTCTCATTACATATCAAATAACTGTAACAAAGCCTAAGAGATTTTGTGATGGACAATTAAATGGGGAATGAGAGTTGCAGAAGGAGGGCAAAGGAGATTCAAATCTCCTGCTTGAACTAAGGTTTATTAGCTATCCTATTGCTTCCTCCTGATTTGACTACAGACTTCTGACCCCTTTTGTTATGAGTACTGTAGATGAATGATTAAAAATGGGTATTTATCTTTTAGCATTTGCATCTACTTTCTAACCCATCAGCTCCTACCTCTTCTGCCCCTTCTTCCATCTTGGGTGTCCAGAAAGCTAAGACCTAAGTCCTAAGACCCAAGACCTGGAAAACTAAGACCCTGGTTTCTTTTATGGGAAATCATCAAATTTCAGCTTCCTTACCTGGATTAAAGTTTTCTGCATTACTTCAAGTTGTAAAGTGAATTCCACATCTTAATATATGTGTCTCCTTGCTTTTACTTTCTGAGCTGATATTCTGTTTTCACAGAAACTGAAAACTAGTAAATGGTAGACTGTGTTGGTGGGTAAACTGGAGCGAGCATAGCCCTTTTCATTTCTCTTAGGGCTCTGAGGCTAGTTGTATTACTAACATTTTTTTTTATAAGTGACTAATTCTTGTTCATCCTTGAGTGTTTTATGAAGAAATCACTCATTAGCCATTTTTGTCCCCATAGCCTTTATTGCTACTCTTAGCTGGTGAAACCTTGGCATGAGAAACAAAGAGGTCTGGGGTCATGGGATTTTTGAATTGATTGGAATTTTTTAATTGGCTGTTTACGACAAAGAATTCTTGAACAGAAGTAAAAAACGCAACAACTCTCTTATATATTCTTTTGAAAAATTTATCACTTCATACATGAAGACTGGAATCTAGAAATCCTTCACTTGATAAGATTTTAAGTCAAAATCGCATTCTCTAGCTCTGAATGAACCTTTTGTTTGCAAGGAGTGACAAAAAGGAATTTTTCATTACCAGATCAATACCTTTTCAAGTAAAGAGGTGATGGAAAAAGAGAAAACATTAACTGGGGAATATTGTTTGATTTTAACACCAAATTCCCAAAGCTTTTAGTATGAGAAATATATAGCAGATGTTGAAGAGAGTTTACATATAGATCTTGGGAGTTAGAGGGTTTATCTTCAAGTTAAATCTTCTCATTTTATTTCTTTAGGGACAAATTATTCAGGAACGTATTATTCAGGAGCACCATATCATCCAGTGACGTTCTCCATTTACATTGTGACTGCAGTCCTCTGTGTCTTGTTTAGTGCTGTTACTTTTCTAAAGTACAACAGGTCAGTGGATGGTTGAAGTACTTGAAGGTTTAAAACATCTGGGCCCAGTTTAAGGATGGTTAGCACAAACCCAGGGTTAAATTTTAATCCAGGTATCTTTTTTTCTCTATTCATGAGCCTTTTTAGGATAATTTTTCCTATTCTTTTTAGATTATCCAATCATCAAATTACAGACAAATAATTAAATTGAATTTGTTTAAGCTTTCAGATCTGAAACCAATTTTCATACTAACCCAGGGTTATCTTAACCCAGCTTTGAACAACCCAGCCCTGAAGAATTACTTGAAACTATACTAACCCCTTGTAACATGAATGTAAATTTATTGTGTGGAATGAATTGGCTGGCAATCACAGATGCATTGGATATTTTGGTCCACTGTATTGTTATTTTGAAGTATGTTTTAACAAAAATAAAATGACATACCTTCAGAAGTGTTTTGTAATGAAGGAAGTATTTTGTTCAAGTGAACCATTTTGTATTGTTACATTCCAGTGTTACTGTCCTGAATGTTACTGTTCGAAGTAATGTCATCTCTAACAATGCTTGGATTGCATATTTCATTGTCATGTTCATAAGGTAGGTAGAGAAGCTGCTGTTTGTAGCCTAATAAGTTAGTTACGTCAATTTTGGTACCAGTACAGTTTAGTTTCTAGGGCATTTGCAACGCAGATTGATCACTGGAAATTGTATCTTTGGCTTTAAGGATTTTTTCATTTTGCCATACATAACCTATAGTGTAAGACAAATGAGAAAACTTTTCTTATATGTTAATAAGCAATTACTGGTCAGAATGAGGTTGAGCATGATATAATACAAAAACCAAATTCATTAGTTGTTTTATTCTACATTTTTTAAACAATCTGCAAAAGGAAAAAAACACCTCTCTCTGAGTTTGCAAAAGTTCGAGAACACTACACGAACAAGGGGCTTGGAAATAAACCAGAATTTGAACATGGAATCGTGGTGATAAGTGAAATCCACTGTAGGTATTGCATTTATCATGTCAACTTTACATGCTATTATGTAAAGATTGAATGCTATCATTCAATCATATTTTTCATGGTAAGTCTAATTAACAATTATTCACCTCAGGCTCAGTGAATATTTCTGAATAGTCTCTGAGACAAAGTCAGGGGGATTATTCAACAATCTTCAGTGAGCCTGAGGCAAGTAATTGTTTTAGTATAATTGCCCACAATAGTGTTTTTTTCTTTTGCAGATTGTTTAAAAAATGTAGAATAAAACAACTTATGAATTGGGTTTTTGTATTATATCATGCTCAACCTCATTCTGATCAGTAATTACTTAATAACATAAGAAAAGTTTGTTTTGATGTTAAAACCATTCTGTTTTAATTGTTATGACCACTTGTATCGAGATAAAGAGCCAGTTTCCACTGAAATTTGATAGGTTCATTTGATCAATCAGCAAAAACTTTATAAGTTTGTCAGTATGATTTTCTGGTGATTATTGAGATGTACATGCTCTGATTGGTTGAGGATTGTGTCATATCTCCCTATAATTACCTTGGGAAGGTGATTGCAGCAGGGGCATTAATTTTCAAAATGGCTGATGTTGGCAGTGTCAAATGTTAGCAAGGACATGATAAAGGCCCTTGAATAAAATTTAATTCCAGCTGGTACAAAAGATGCCATTTAGTTTGGCATAACACTTTTCAAAAGAGAGATATGAAGTTTTTGCAGACTGAATTAAATAAACCTGTTAAATTCTAGTGGAAACTGGTTGCATATTTCAATACCATTTAACAAAACAATTGTACTAGAATGGTTTCAACACCAAAACAAACTTACAACAGAATTTGGAATCAGCAGAACAGCTTTGTCTTACTCATTACTCAACAACATACACTTTGCCTTCAGCAAATAATTGTTCAATAATATTAACTGAGGGAACCATTGTTCTGTCTAGATCAGCTGTTGGAGCAGGTATCTACTCAAGTGCAACCCAACACTTTCGAGTGGGATTGCAAGTCTACTTCATTGCAGGTATCTGCAGTATTAATAATCAATAATATTCCTACAGTTGCATAAATCTTAACTTATTGCTTTTGATCCCAATAAGGTAAACTGGGCATAGTTAAAAACAGTGCAAGGCTCAATGGTCTGATCATTTAAACATTTTTTAGCTGTTGTCTAACAAAACAGCATCCTAGACAATCCTTGTTTTAGCTGAACTTTTTATCTGAACATTTATATTTCTGAACAGCATCAAGAGGTTAAAAGCTAAGAGTAGGAGGACATTCATTTAATCAAATCAACCCTCTTATTGAGAAAGCTGGAGGCCCACTGATGATATAAAACTGTGGGTTAGGGTAGCCTGCAGAGCAGGTGGAATTTTGGCAAGAGATTACTCAGTATTTTCTTAGGGGAAAATTATGGTGGCAATCTTTTAATTTAATGGCAGTAGAATACTGAGGAGAGAAATTTGTTTCTAGGGGGCAGTTGATGGTCAAAAATAAGGAGTAGGGTGGGGGTGGGGGTGGGGGAGTGAAGATTTTTGCCTTTGGCTGCCTGCCTCCCCCACCGCTTCTATCTCCAAATCAAACATGGCTAGTTGAATAAATGATCACAAGCTTCTTAACATTAACTCACCCTTGTAAGACTGTCGCCTGCACTGTAGGCTTGAGATAGGGTAGACCTTGTGTAAATAACCAGCCAAATATGTTTATCACAATTACAATGACTATGAACCAATGCAAATGTATTTGTGTTTTTAGATGGAGTGTTAAAGTCATTTGAGGTAAGATCAAAAAAAGAAGAGGTAGCTCTTTGCAGATAAGTCATATCTGTTGCATAAAGTTATTGTCAAGAGGTATTCAAATTTGTGATGTATGATCATTCAGCTTTTAAACTTGAAGTTTACATTAATGTTATGCTAAATGTATTCTTCTGCAAGTTTTACGAATTGTTTTGAAACTTTGTCCACCAGTAAGTACATATTAGATAGTATTATTATCATCCTTGTAACTCCTAATATATCATCAGTAATTCTCCTTACTGTCTGTTGTACAAGATGTATGTGAATTTGGTATTTGATCCCCTAGTTTATATTTTTCTTTATTCTCATCACTTGTCTGCTTGATATTGTGAGGAGAAATTTTGTCTTGGTCACTCATGGGAGTTGAAGGGTTAACATTTAGTAATATGGTGTTAAGTCTTTTGTCAATTCATAATTATGATTTTTAGTAAATATTTATTTACGAAAAATGTAAGGGTGATCCTCAAAATAATTATATGTTGGTTTAACCCTTTAACTCCCACAAGTGATTAACATGTAACTTCTCCCCAAAATATCCATACATTATGCAGCAAATAGGTAATGAGAATACTCAAACTCATCAGGTAGAAATTGTTATCTTGATAAAACACCAAATTCTTGTGACTAGTTTACAAGGTAATGTGCAGCAGCTAGAGGGGAGAATCAACAATCAGATCATGGGAGTTTAAGGGTTGAATGACTTCTGTTAACAATGTGAGCAGATGGTATCATGAGGACTTTTGCAGACAAGGTCTGAATATCAATTCTTCATGCTGTCTGCTATACATTTCTTTCACTTACAACATTGAGAATTTGGTAGTAAATCAAGTGATATCCTGTTGTTAATATTTTCCCCATCTTCACATCACCTTTTTGTTTTAAAATGTATTAAGGATGTAAGGAGATATTCCTTGTTGGTCATTCCCAGAAATAAAAGGTCAATAGCTTTTCCATTTTGAAAGTATCATTTAAGTCAAGCCTTAAGTTGGTATTCAGTTGAAAGATTTAATGGATTTTTTTTTTAATTTAAATTTATGACTGGTTATTTAATTTCTGAGTTGAACTAGGTTATTTTGATTTTTTTTCTAGGTTTTTTGTTTGTTATGTGCACTGAATCATCAATGGCAGTTTAGATCATCAGGTAGCTATTGATTATTGATATGTAATGACACTTTCTTCATTTCTCGCACACCAAATGCCATTTGTCTGCCAGGCAAAGAAAGCGTCAGCACTTTATTGACAATTCAAGCCAACACTTGCAAACAGATCATAATTTATTGTAAATTTGCAAGCTATTACTGAAAAAATAAACCTTTGGCAAGCTTGCCATAGCTTGATATCAGAGGAACAACTTGCCAATTGGTGACAAAAGAGAGAAGGGGGATGGGTGGGTGGGTGGGCAAGTACATTTAAGCTGTTGTTTTGTTTCATATGAAAAGAAATAAACAAATGAGTCACATGGTTGGGTGGCATCTAATATCCTAACATGAACCCAGCCCTTAACTTAGTATGAGAGAACCTTCCTCTTTCCTCAGCTAGCATGAACACTTTTTCCATTTGATTCCTGTAACAATCCTGTAACTGGTGTACCAAGAGTAAGTGTTATTGATACAGTCAATCTGGTTTGATTTGTTTCTTCCCAAACCAGGATTTCTTATGCAGGAAATAAGGAGTTTGAATTCGGGAGGGCACAGTACAACTAGCTCTGAAACTGGATCACGGACTGGAATTACAACAATGGTATTTTTGAAGTTTAATTTCCATATGCAGATTTAAGAAGTTTTATGTTTGTTTGAATAAATCTCTTCTTATTGGTAGAATTAATTTTTCTACTGTGGTTTTAAAAATGTAGTTTTATATCCCTTAAATGTCAAAACCATGAAGTGTGGCAGGCTTCCATTTACCGGGCCAAATGCATACCCTTACTCAAATATTCCAAGAACATTGTCTGCTTCTTAAACACAGGGCAGTGCTGCTCAAATGAAAAAGTCCTACCAAACATAAATTTGCCCCCCCCCCCCCCCTACTCCTCCACCCATGACTTAGTATATCATGTTGGTGCTTTATCAGGCAGACCATTTTTGGAAGGCTTTGGAAAATTGCATTTTGTTTTAATAACCATACCAATGAATATTTGATTAAAATCTTTTGATTTGTTTTTATCACCAACCCGCAGTTTTCAAGTAAGAAAGTGATCATTTTGTTCACAGTACAAGTACTATTGGTAATACTGTTTCTGACATTACTGGAAGCTTGTATGTAAGTATTCTTTGAAGTACTTGCTTAAATTTGTGAGTCAATTTACATATTCTGCCATTGCTGCCAATGATTGTCCTTTCCCAAAATGACATATTTAAAACCAAATCTCCATTTTGGCTTGGTCAAGTCTCCACTGACAGAGGTAGTTCCATTTTAATTTCCATACAATCAACTGAATTATTATAAATAAGTGTTTATCTGGTGTGATATTATTTGATATAGTATCAATTTATTAATGTACCTACACTCTAATAAGTGTCCTACCCCAAATAAGCGCCCAGCCCCTAAGACATAATATCAAGCCCCTCTCAAATAAGCACCCCCCTTCCTCCCTCACTTTCTTAGATATTATGGATACAAGGAATACCTGTTTCTATTGCCACTTTTTTTATATCTTTAAGCTTCAACTATACAGTACAGGAAATTAATGAGCACCTCCCTCGATTGAGTGCCCCTCCTTTTTGCAGAAATACCATATCCAGGAAATACTGTATCTGTATTTACAATCATATTCAGTAGTGAATATTTCTTATTTTTATTTTAATAGGTGTGTCTATTTGAGACAACTTTTTTGGACATACATGGCCTTATTTTGGACACAGGCTCTTTTGACAATTATTTGGGTCATTTTGATTTTTTGGTATGATGATGAAGAGGGCCCAACACTCATGACAAAGGTGAGTTTGAATTAATTAAGAGTAACTTCAGTATTTACTGATATACTGTAAGTAAATAAATTTAACATATAATTTTCACCAGAAGAATTAAACTTCCTAGGAAATTAAAAATTAATATAATATTCTCACCTCTTGGTACAGCCACACTGTTAAGCTTCCAATAGACAGTTACTAAAAGTAAAGATAAGAAGTCCATTGCTATTTAAATGTGCAGTTTCAAATAAAAAAAATCATTTCTTAACTAAGTAAGGTCCTGAAAGTGTTCTTGAAGAACAAAATTTCTGTAGAAATTATATTAGAAGTAGACTTGTAGGTTATGATGGGGGGGGGGGGGGAGAAGGGCTGTCTAAGAAGAAATGTTTTTAAATCTTTTTTAACAGCACTAATAGCTAATAGATTTCAATCATCATAACTTGCATAGGCATTATTATTGATATTCAAATGTAATCATTTCCATGTTGGGTTCAACAAAATACCATTACAAGCTAAGAAGTACAGAAATTACCTGAAATTGTAACAATATACTGAAACGTTCTGAACAGAGGAAACTGAATTCATTTATATTTTTGTTATCATTACTCTTCTTATCTTCTAGATTTTTCTTGCTGGTGGGGTATTCATCACTCTACCTGCAGATATTCCATCCATTGTTTGGTCGTCTTTTATTGATGATATTCATGGAATTTGTGAGTACATAACAAAGAGGTCTCCTCAAAGAAGTATTAACTATTACAGGCCTTTCATGATCGTTGAATACGTATTAGGGATGGGTAGGTACTCAAGACTCAAAGTGCTGGTGGGGGTGGGGGAGCTTTGTAGAGGGAATGAAATCAGAGAGGAGGATTTTCAGAGATGATTGCCAGATCAGAAGATTGTTGGAGGGGTGGTGTTTGTACTACCTAAAAAATCCTGTAACTGAGTGACTGAATTTTGCCCCTTCAACATAAATGTTATAAAGGGGTGGTTAAAGGTCGCCTTGCTTGGCTTTGAAATCACACAGTAACATGATTTCAGACCTAATTGCACTCCACTCAGTTCAATAACAATGACAAAAGGACTAAGAAGGCAGGGAAGGAGGGATAAAAGAGAGGTTACAGTTAAAGTGACTACTGGCTTTAACCCTTTAACTCCCATGAGTGACCAAGACAGAATTTCTCCTTACAATATCAATACAATATCAACCAGATAAGTGATGAGAATAAAGAATATTAATTTGAGGATAATTACTTGATCTGATACTTAATTCTCTGAACTAACATTACAAGAATGGTATGGTTGACAGTAAGGAGAATTACAAATTCGATCTGGGAGTTAAAGGGTTAAGGTGAATGATATCTAATATTTCTTTTCAGGTGAACCATGGAAGTATTTTACTTCATATGATTTGGCATTGTTCCTGCTGATTCCTGCTCTGATAATTTTCTTTCTTGTTCTGCGCAAAGAGTATCTCAGACTGGATCAGGTAAGAATAACTATATCAGGATTGTGTTTATTTTTTTCCTTGTGTGTTGAAGTTGTTTGCAGAGGTCTCGAGGGCTGGGGGGCCAAGCTTAGCCTCAGATACATTTGACTTGGAGCACAAGCGTATATCTTTTCCTTGGTGCTTGCTACAGATCTTTTGTCTATAGTGTTTAGTTCTTTCAGGATTAGTGGGCTCCTGGTTCTTGATATTAAAAAAGTGCCCAATTTTGGCAGTTACACTAATTGGTTGATGTCAAGACATGCAGGAGTTGTATATTTACTTGGGTGCCTGTCTGCATCTCAAATGCATCTGTTTCATATATTCACAGTTGTTTTTTCGTACTTTTTTTGCATACCTGCTTCTCCACCACCCTCCCCCCCTCTTCTCTATGATAATAATACTTCAAGGTAGGGATCTGCCACAGAAAATTTTGAGGATGGAAAAAAAGACATTAATTTTATTTTGTTAGCACTTGCATTTTAACTAATAAATAACTGATGGTTATCAATGTTTAATTATTAATTATTATGATAGAGGAATAATTTGGGTAATGATGTTGTTGAAATATGATTTAAAGATATTTATAGCAGAAGTTATTACATAATTTTTTTTTTCTTTGTTAACAGGAAGCTAAGTACAGTATGTTAGGTGCTGAAGTTGATTCTTTGTTTTCTGAATACTCACACAATTCACAGCAAAGTTAAAGGTGTTTGGATACATCTTTAAGACACCTGCCTCTGTCAGTTAAGCGTTTGATAAGAAAAAACTGTTTAGTTATTCTTAACAAAAGTATTAAAAGTTGTAATGTATAAATCATCATTAGTTAGTGATGAATAAAACTTACTAGTAATGGCAACCTCTTGACAGAAGTTGAGACAGTCAGAAGGCACATTTCTAGATGCAGCAATGAATTGGAGTGTTACTCATTAGTTTCTATTAATAATGTAGAAAGGATCATAATTGATGGTTCACAAATTGTCATAAGTAGGAAACGAATACAACTTACTAGTAATGAAAGCCACTTTACAGTAGTTGAGACAGTCAGAATGTACATTATGGATGCAGCAATGACTTGAGGTTTTATGTTTATATGTCTTAGGCACTGAGAAGTTGTCTCTCAGGACCAAACTTATGTTAATGTAAGATGAAAATTAAAAAAATAGGGTGTCCTCAAAACTGGTAATATTAATTTTCAATTGATTACTTTGATGTATAGCTGCAAACAAAAGTATGACTTATTGGTACATTTGCAAGAGGTCATCACTTAAATGATAACTAGCATCTAATTTTGTCTTTTGGTATCACCTCTGAATCAAACACTAAGGTTAAATTGCAAGAAAATAGAAACTATTTAATAATTTTAAATGGTCTTTATATACATGTAGAATGAATTTATAGTTTCAATGCCAGCCTATGGTAGTGTATTTTTGCCATAATGAGTTGGGGAAGATTTTCATTAAATTACCCCTTGGACCCTGTAGAGTGACTGTCACCCCAGGATCAAACATAAGGGTCACCAGAACAAGACAATGGATCACCAACTAAAGAAGCTCTTGATTGTTAAATAAATTCTCCTTATTGGTATCTTAGGAAATCTATAGAGAACAGTATGGAGAATATGTATACTGACATTAGGGTGTTAAGGGCAAATGAAGTGCTAGCAGTTGCGTGAAATCAGTATTTGAATGATACATTTCAAATTGAAAAATTTGTGATATTAACATTTCTTTAGCTACTAAAATATTCAATTCTTTCTGTCGTGACAGAGAATGGGGCTATTTTTCAAAACCTTTCCTAAAACGTGGTAATTGTAGATATTAGCAATAGCATATACATTTAACATACCTTTTTTTTTTTTCATCACAGATAATGCTATTTTTACACTCAGGAAACTGTTAACACAATAATATTATTATGGAATGTCATTGTGTTTCAAGGAAATAACCAAGCAGGCATCAGATGCCCTTTTTCTTGAACATTTTTGTGATTGGTCAGTTAATCATTGACTGTCAATCAAACCAATGAAAGTGTTCACAGTTTTCTGGTGTTCTTTACTTAAGGTTTGAGGCAAAATCAAAGTTGGTAATTTACGTTAGAAAACAGCAGAGAATTTTACTCAATTATAATGTGATATCCTAGAGATACTAGACTTGAGTTGTTACTACAAAGACATGCTATAATAATTTGACAATGTTTAGTTCTCTTGTAAATAAAAATCATTTTGGACTCTGTAATAGCTGTATTGATGATAAACCAAAGGATTTGTGTGTAAACTGTTATAAAAAGAGATTTAGAGGGATGAAGGTATTGGTTCATTACAAAACAAGACCGATTGAAATTATTATAATTCCATTAATATCTGAATTCTCTTGAATCTTCCGCTGTCATGAAAACTATGCCACAAGAGCTTCAACAAATGGATCACCTTCCTCTATGTGACATGTATCAATACTGGCATTTAAACGACAGCTATTGTCTGTAACTTGGGCCTCGTTATCAGTGTTCCTTTCAACATATTGGAATGGTTCTTGTATAGACACATTTGCAATGTTATCCTGAATGGTAGGAAGATCCATGCTAGTTCTGTGCCCTTCCCTAGCACCAAATTTAATCTGACACCATTTCATGAAGAGGAAGAATGCTCGAAATGTGTAATGGAGCAAGATGGTGAAGACTTTGCTAAGAAACACTACTAAGCCACCAACATAGGCAAAAACTGAAAACAAATGGAAACAAAGAAACCATTAAGATAACAGAAATATTCTGCCACAAGGGCAGTTGTTAAGGGTTGGCCTCAAATTTGAAAATTCACCAACTATTATTATCATGATAGAATGTTTTGGTCTCATCTGTCTCAGCTATCATGTAGAAAAATTCACTCAGTCATAATTCAACTTCAATATTTGAAAAAAAATCAGTGTTAACCAATAGACTTTTAGCCAAGGCTTTTGAGGATGAGACTATCAAGTTTGTAAGGTTTACTCCCCCAATAAACTAGGATTATTATTTCACAATGAATTTTAAAATAGAAACCAAGCTATAATGAACAGTACTTACTACAGCTTTGGTAGACTTCTTCCAATTTTTTTAGTCGGTAATTTTTCATAATGTTCCCTGGTCTTGAACATTAGTTTGGAAATGTCAATACCTTATATTAAATTCAAGGCTCTTTATGTACCTTGGTAGGTATTTTAGAAGGGAAGAATAAGAACTTCTAAGTTGTAATACCTGTGAGAAAGACAAAGACACTGAGGTTGTAGTTGAAGATGCAGAAGGCTCCCTGAAAAATCAGAAACATTCAAAGAACTAGTTATTCTAAGGTGCCCTCTGACTAATCCTTTCCAAAATGGAATCTTCTATTGTAGTTTTACAGAGGTTACTAGAAGAGGGAATACGAATGGGTGCTTCATATCATTCAGTCACACTTCACAGTGATGTAAAGATGAGGTTATGCGTTCTTCAAGTGGTAAAGGAGTGATTTTTCTCAGAAACAACAACAGTACAGGGTCGACCTCATCACCTCCAGAAGACTAGAAGTATGCAACTAAAACATTATGATCCACATCGGAAGTGACCACGTCATGAGACAAACAATTATATTTCTCTTTTGAACAGTATGCTGTTCATCTCACAGAGATCACCACCTTAGGAGATACGTTGCAAGAAAATGATGGAATGAGTTGAATTTTAATGTCAAATGTCCATTGTAAGGAGGTGGCTAGGCAACCTTAGAGACAGAACTCAGCTGTGAGGCAAAAGATGCTTCACAAAACAAGCTAAATAGAAAGAAGTAGTTGTAGCCTTATGTCCCTAAGGGTGCTTGCCATGGAGGCAGTTTTCTCCAGAAGCACGAGCGCTACTTGTTTCTGAAGTAATGGCTAATTTAAATTAATAAGGCACACAGTACAATGTCTGTCTTCATCTGAAATAAATTATGATCTTTGCTTTGTTTTCATAGATACCCTGAGGAGAGGAATTAAGACACCAGCTGTCTTGAGGTATTTGTTGTAGTCCCAATGAGGCTCAACAACAGGTTGTAAATACACTGCAGTGGTTTACTATTAAGTTCTTTCTTTACATCTTACCTGATCTTTTAGAACCCCCTGACAATGAAACATCTTGTGTTGTTCACTAACACAGCTTTTTAATCCATCTGGATCACAGCTATTACATGGAAAGCATTGTACCTAAATGTCAAAAAATATTGTGACTTAAAAGGTGGAGTATTGATGAAAGGGGGAAAATCAAGGCATCAGGCCATTTTGACAGAAGTGTGCCTTGCAAAGGTGTTGAGTAGTAGGTTAAGAGAAATGTTTAGTTTTCATTGGATTCAAGTGGTCCTTCATGGCAGAGCATAAAGTAGCTAGGAGTACAGCTTATTCCCCTGGCTGGGATGCCAGACCATCACAAAGTAACCATTTCCCAATTACGTCAGCTTTAGAAACTCTTTACAGTGGCCAATCTAAATTGTCGACTTGGTCGATGAAACCAATTTATCTTGTTGTAACACCACCATTTCCCAATTACGTCAGCTTTAGAAACTCTTTACAGTGGCCAATCTAAATTGTCGACTTGGTTGATGAAACCAATTTATCTTGTTGTAACACCCCCCCCCCCCCCCCACCAACGACACAGTATCAGAGTTTCTTTACAAGCTTACCCTCTTTCTGCTAAGATTTGTGTTCTACTTACCATGGTGGTGCTCTGACATAATAGCAAAACTTCTTTGTAGTTTTTGAAGCAAGACCAAGATACATAGAGTTTGGAGAACCACATTATCAAACAGAAGTAGACAATCACAAAAATTGCTGCAAAGTTGCAGAACACATGGATCTTCCCAAATGGTCGGATGGGAAGGGTGGACTGTAAAAAAAAAATTGTTGATAAAATCAATCAAATGATTTAGGTAAATGTGAAGATGTAGGTGTGGTATAGTCCCACTTTGCTATCAATAATTGTTGGGCAATATAGAAAACCCAACAACCTCAACTTTATATTTTTATCGAAATTTAAGGTCATTTAGCAATGTTATTATTATTAATTTCTTGTAATTGTACTGGAGAATGTGAGAAAACAAAAACAGAGGGGCAGGGCAGCATAAGAAAAATTTCTGTGGTCATTAGCTATAATTCTTTCCTTCCCTGTTCTCCACCACCCCTAACACCACTCCTAACGCCACTCCTAACACCACTCCTAAAGCCACCCCTAACATCACTCCTAAAGCCACCCCTAACACCACCCCTAACACCACTCCTAAAGCCACCCCTAACACCACTCCTAAAGCCACCCCTAACACCACCCATAATACCATGCCTAACACCACCCTCAACGCCATCCCTAACACCACCTCCAACACACCACCCCAAATAACACCCCAACACCACCTGTAACTCTACTCCTAGTACCACCCCTAACACCTTCCCAAACACCACACCTAACACCACCCCTAACACCACCCCCACCACCAACCCTAACAACACCCCAACACCACCCCTAACAGTACCTCTACTCCCTACTCCTTTTTTTTCCCTCAATGACCTTGGCTTACTCTCAATTGACAATTATGCCTCTCTGAGAGATGTTTGCTGTGCAAGTAGGAAAATACTCAGTAACCTCATTTTATAATCAGCTCATAAACTTTGACTAAATCCAAATGATCAAATACCTTAAATTTGAATGGCATCTTCTTTCTTGAGTAGAATAACACAACATATGTTGTTGTGAGAGCCAGTGAAAGTGTGAATACTTGGGTTTCAAGACCCCTCATTCTTGGTCTGTAATATCTAGAGGAAACAATTGAAAACAGATTCATGTAGTTTTATAGCAACTCATTGCAAATTAGAAAACCTGGGCTTAAAATTCTAGGTTGTGTGCTTTCTGACACAAATTGGCATAAAGGCTTAACAACTTATGCCTGAGTCCAAGTTTTCCACAGGTAGGCCTGAAGAATGAAACCCTGTGAGGAAAAGATACCCATTTGACACATGCTGTTAAAATGCTCTTCACACACCTTTTAAATGACAAATTTCACAATATTCATCAACCCTTTTACTCACATGATTTCAATAATAATTTTTGTTCTCTTTCCTGTCTACCAAACAATACTTGCTAGTTTGGCAGTTAGAGTGTAATGATAAATCAAACCTAACCGATATTTTTCTTCCCATCACATGTCTGCTTACCATTGTATCGTTATTTTAACCCTTTGACTCCCATGAGTAACCAAGACAGAATTTCTCCTTACAATATCAACAAAATATCAAGTGGACAAGTGATGAGAATAAAGGAAATATCAGTCAGGGGATAATGAGTTGATCCAATACCAAATTCTCCAAACTGACATCACAAGAACTGTGTGGCAGACAGTTGGGAGAATTGCTAATGAGATCCTGGGAGTTAATGGGATAAGGAAGAACCACTACCAGGTCACTTTTGGAGCTGAAACCATTATTGAATCATTTCTACTGATGATTACCTACCTCCAGTCAAACAGATCCGAGGCCCAGAAATTAACAAAGAAGAAACAAAGTAGTACAAGGGTGATACAAGCTGTTAAAATCCAGGATAAGCCTTTAAACTTTAACCACCAGCACACAACAAAATAGGACTGTAACCAAACACATAAACAAATGAGGAACAAATAAAGACAATCACAATTTAACTTTTAAATCAAAAGAATAAAGATATTACAATTAATACTAACTAATAGATTGAAACATAGAGAGCTGGCTTGTTTACACAGCAAATATGTAATTTCACTCCCAGTCAACCTTGACACCCTTTTTAATTTTGATTAATCCTGTGATCTTTTAACTTACCAATAGCATAAAAAGGATTGGTAGATCCATTAGGCGAAGAGATTGCTAGAACAAACAAAAACATAAGACCTGATTTTAGTGTTAGGGTGCCCATGCGCTTTGATTCAATCAATAATTTATTTGATTCTCACCATAAATGTACTTGATGATGTGTTGATAGTTTAAGGTGGGGGGGTGGTCAATAAGGTTACTAATTGTACGGTTATGCAGGATGCAAATGTCACAGAATTTCCATACTTAACAGTGTTTGCATCAGGCAATCTATGCATTTTGCACTTACCTCTCTATTGATATTCCTTGGATCAGTCTAAAAATTCATAAGAAACCCGTCATTCATATTCAACAAAACAATAAAAGGAATTAAGTTAATCTTTTGTTTCAAATTCAGTTACATTCCAATGTTTTCATGCTCGACAAAACTAACATAATTAAAAAAATTATAAAATAAAGTCTAAAATTAAGATTCTTAACTCACATGAAATTGTTAAAAGTATGTTGAGCTTGCATCAATCATGTTCGGGTCGGATCAAGGTCAAAAGAATGATCGTGATCAATCCAAAATATGCTTCGAGCACAATCTCTAAATGCCCAGTTTGTAAGTGAATAGATTGTGCTTTGCAGATCCAAATCAAACTTAAATTCATTCAAGAGAAATCAAGAGACTCTCAGAGCCTTTTTACCTCAAACAGTCCTTTTGGCAAATCATTCAACGTAGCTGCATCGCCATAAGCATCGAAGTACGGTGGATTACGGATGAACTCAACAACTCCAGCCCACAAAAATCCCATTGCTATTAAAAAATGGACAACTTGAAGCGTATCAAAGAAATAATCCCTGAAAGTTCTCCTTCTTCTAAAGCCTGTTGCCAAAATCGGAGGCATCTTAGAGCCTGAACTTAACTTTTATAATTATTTCTCGAAGTTGATTGTGTCTTGCCGAACTAGGAAAACATCTCGCAGAGAGTATGTTATGACCACGGTGAACGGTGCGGGAAATCTGGGGACGAATGTTAAAGTAACGCTGTACGTGCGTGACGACATACCTGGAACAAATGATCAAGCGTCCAAAACACCTGAAACAAAACGTTAGCAATTTTAGGCAATTTCTTGCTATTTTTCGTTCTTCTAGGAAAGCTTTTTCGGCAATTTAGGTTTTTTCGATGATGAGTTCTTCCTCTTTGTAAGAAAAAAGAAACTTTGCGGGCTGGCTTCACTGCATGTGTCAGCTGTGACGCTGTGAGCGGAACGAGTCTTCCTGTTGACAATAACAACTCTTTTTTCTTACACAAAATGTGTCGAAGCCGACTTCAGTTGACGCTTGCAATTCTAAAACCAGACCTTATGATGCACCCAGTAAGAACTAAGGTAGGTTCACCGCCTCGAGGGTTTGATGTCGTTATCTTGTTTGGTTGTACTCGGGGTGTTCCCGAGAAGAAATAATGCGGGCTCCACTGGAAAAATAGATCGAGGATAACCACCCACAGCGGATGGAGAATAACTAGACAGCGAAAAAACCGCTGAATTCAGCTAAAAGGATGAACGTCAGATAGTAATCGGGTTGACAAGATCGTTCAAGGTTGTAAAATAGGGAACTGACTGGACTGGACTTTGAATTTGTTCAGGAATAAGGAAGAATAATGTCCACAACACCAAAGAGGTGCTAGACTGGGTGATCGTTTGTTTACTTATTCCTATGTAATTCCAAGTGAATCTTTAATCCTCTAACCACGGAATATTCAGGGTGGATTTGGATTTAAGAAGTTTTGATGCAAAGTTTATTTAATTTGAATTAAATAGCGTTCGGAATCTTTGGTTGAGTACTCATAACTCATAGTTAAAGAAGATACTAATGATCTGCATTTCTGTATTCTGACTTTTTGCCATAAGTTTTGGATATGTTATGGAGGCCATTTTTGGCATCACAAAATAATTTCAAAATTTGATGACTGTTCCTAAAAGCCCTAAGGTTAAGCTGAGGATTTAGCATTTTTTGTTTTTACCACCCATGACAGGAGGTAAAGAACATCATAAAGAACAGTGGATTTCTTGTAATCCAATCCAAAGTTACCTCTCTCAGTCTTCAAGATGCAGAGAAGTTTTATGAGGAGCATAGGGGTGAGTAGTTCTCATGTTCTTTAGAAGGGGCACTGGCATCCCTGTATTGAATATTCGTTAGGATTAGGTTAAAAGCACCCTGCAAAGCTGTAAAGTACATAATCCAAAACAGTTGTGGGGTTAGACAATTTATGGGGTCTAGTTTGGTTTAAAAACATTGGCAACAAATTTCTGTCGAGATATCTTGAAGACTGACACAGAACTTTCATTTTTAGTCTCCATTGTGGTAGTCTAGAAGCAGTCTGTCCTTTTCTGCAAAGTCTGTCATGGGAAAAGGAGGAACTGCTCATAGTCTACCATTCTAGCCAGTCTCTGAGATAGCAATTTGTATCATACCCTAAAGAACTTCTGCAATGGAGACTAGCCTGATGTTTGCACTAACAAGGGTAGCACTATTAGGTAGTTCATTAGTAACTCTTAGATAAATAGACATTATGATATTATAGATATTTTAGGACCCCCTTCCAAAATTTAGTCAATTTACAGGTAAGTTTTGTGGGGAAGTCTTGAGGAAAGGTGTTCATGAAGCAAATGGAGTAAAGTTGTTTTGTTATTTCCTCAGAGCGGTTTTTCTTCAGTAGGTTAACTGGATACATGAGCAGGTAATTGATGTATTTACCAAGTAAGCTATCTATCAGTATCTATGCAAAAGAGTCCTTCCTTGTATTGAAAAAAAATTGGAGTCTGTAAGCACCTTCCACCTCTTTTTCTTTGAAATAAATAGAAATATTGTGTACAAATCTTTTTTCAATGCAAAATAGATTTATAGGAATTCCTTATGCAAGAAAATAAAGGACACATGTCTTCTTATAAGACGTTGAGATTTCCATTTTAAATCTTAGAGTTGATTAACATGGAACTTCTCATGACAATATCAATATATGATCCAGCAAAAGGGTGATGAGCATAGGGACATTAATCTTCCACCAATGTTACTCCAAAGTCTCTTCACTATTTTACAAGGAAATGTATAGAAACTAGAGGAGAGAATTGCTTAAGAGATCATTGAGTCAAATATTTGATAATAAAAAAAGTAAATCACTGCTTCTGTAAAGCGTTCCAAACAAAGTCTTCTCTCTCCCCAATACTGCAAAATATACCAGCTATCAGTGACATTAATTTATTCTGTGTTTAAACATCATAAATCTTAAATAAGAAGGATGATAATTATTTTTAGTAAATAACTGGAGTATCAGAGCATGAAATCCGAAAGTGTGGATGTTTGATTCCTCGTGAGATATATATATTTTTTGAGATATATTTTTTTTCACTCTTAATCAAACCTAAAAAAGCGTCTGAGTTTTTCCCCTGAGTTTTTTGAGCTTGAGCTCTTTAAAACTGAAGCTGTGTATACGTTTCTCCTTCTTCTCTCAGTGGCCCAATGACAGCCATGATTCTTGCTAAAGCAAACGGTATCGCTCACTGGCGGGAACTGATGGGTCCCACCAAGACTTACAGGTATCATATGGACTACGACGTGTTCGTTGCATCTTAAAAACATTATGACCTTTAAGTCCTTTACTTTTACCTAACATCCTGTTTCGATCTTTCTCACCCTTAGCCATTCTTGCCCGTTCTTTGTTTGTTATCGCCCCTTTTGTGTTTCCTTTGTTAACGAATTGATATTTTGTAGTCTCCTTCAAATTGAAGATACATTTGCACGTAGCGAAAAATTACTGAAAATATCATGCCCTGTATTTTAAGTGGTGCAGTCCTATCGCGTTTCCAGTCCATAGTTAGGGGTGCAACGACTTTTACGCAACTACACACGTTTGCATCTCCTAAAATCTAATTACCGCTTCCGTTCAATTAAGCGCCCGACCTCGAATAAGCGGCCACCCTGTAAATAAGCGCCCAGCCTCAAATATTTTGATTTAGCATGTTTTTTTTGTTGGGCTCGGCCTTTGATAAGTTCCTTACGCTTGTTTGGCGCTATGAAAATAGTCTGACTGAACTTTTTTCTTTCCTTCAGAGCAAGAGATATCGCTCCAACAAGTATCCGAGCTTTGTACGGAATAAGCGACACGAGGAATGCTGCTCACGGCTCAGGTAAATTTCCGTTTCTTTAACTGAAGACAAATGGGGAGATCTTTTGTGGAAAAAGTTATTTTCAACTCCTAAGAGCACTCTTTTGAAGAATGATTCCAAGATAAGCTTATCCCAGACCCTGTAACTCTCTGAGGTGATTATTTGATCAGTGATTTCTTCAAACCCGTCGTCCTGTTGTTAGGCAAGTTGCTTGGGCTATACGTTGCCTAGGGAAACATCCCCCAATGGCGTGGTTAAGATGTAAAGGTAGGTGTATGGTGGCCCATTGTTATCATAGCAAAACCAGCTGGAGATGCTTCCTTAATTGAATAGAAAGGAGAATAAAGCATACGGATGTGATAAAAAAATTAAAAAGAAAGAACTAAAATTTAAAAAAATAACAAGAAGAAAAACAAATTGGGCAAAAATATTAAAAATAATAATTAATGACCTATTTGAACAAAAAAATGAATAAATAAAAAACAAGTATAAAAATAAAATAAAAAAATAAAAGTAAAATTTAAAAAAATAAAAGTAAAAGGAATCCAAAAAATAAAAAAAATTGAATTTAAAATAAAACATTAAAGAAAACAGGAGCTACTGAAGAAATTCAATAAAAAAAAGTAAAGGAAGATTAAAAATTAAAAAATAAATAAAAGTTAAAATTAAAGTGAAAAATAATTTTAAAAAATGAATAGGATAAAAACCTTAAGTACAAATGTAAATTAATTTCAAGTTTACTATGATAACGCTGGGCCGAACGGAATATCACGATATTTGTTTCTAAAATGAAATGTTCGAAAGCAGCCCATTGTTATCATAGCCTGCGACACGTTTGTTGTCGTCTATTCATCTCGATAAAAGGACTTTTTACTGTAGTTTGAACGAGAAAAGTGCAAGCCACAACCCTTCTGAAAGGAGTCCACTGACCTTACCTGTCGCAGGCTATGATAACAATGGGCTGCTTACGAACATTTCATTTTGGAAACAAATATCGTGATGTTCCTTTCGGCCCAGCGTTATCATAGTAAACTTAAAATTATTTTGCATTTGTACTAAAGGTTTTTATCTTATTTATTTTTTAAATTATTTTTCACTTTAATTTTAACTTTTATGTATTTTTTAATTTTTAATCTTCCTTTACTTTTTTTTATTGAATTTCTTCAGTAGCTCCTGTTTTCTTTAATGTTTTATTTTAAATTCAATTTTTTTTTGGATTGCTTTTACTTTTATTTTTTTTTAAATTTTACTTTTATTTTTTTATTATATTTTTATGCTTGTTTTTATTTATTCTTTTTTTTGTTTAAATAGGTCATCAATTTTTATTTTTAATATTTTTGGCCAATTATTTTATTTTATTATTATTTTTTAATTTTAGTTCTTTCTTTTTAATTTTTTTATCACATCCGTATGCTTTATTCTCCTTTCTTTTTCAATTAAGGAAGCATCTCCAGCTGGTTTTGCTATGATAACAATGGGCCACCATATAGGTGTCAAAACAACCTCGCTTCCCCATCAAATTTCTAGTTACCGTCCTCCCCGCCTCCCAGTGGAAAATATCGCTAACTTACTTTCTCCTAGTAATGGCTTGGTTTTGTATAGGATAAAAATGTTATCTCAACGTTAACGCATGGCTGTTGCAACAAGTAGGACTGGAATCCACTTACTGCAAAGCTTGCGTCGATTTCAATTTTGCGTGGTCAATCATATCATGAGGTGTTACAATAGGAATATTTTTCATGCAAAGGGTGTTGCAACGACATTATGTGCCAAGTTGTGGAAGCTACTGTCTTTAATACCCTTCCCACTTCTTAGCTTCTCCTCGCCTCAGTGCACTCTTTGATTGATTGTCGTTTGACTTAAACCGAAGCCGTCACAGCTGGTAATCAGATCAAAAGAAATATCGCAATAAACCAATCAAAACTTAAAATAAAATGAAACAGTTGTATCTGATTGTTGAGAGAGTGACGCGAATTTTCTAGACCAATCACAGAGCACTGTGTCACGGGTTACAGGCTTTCGTGATTGACGTTCACGGCACTAAATATCACGTGGCTTTCTCATAGACTCCGATGAATCCGCTAAGAGAGAAATCGGCTTTTTCTTTCCCACCTTTGACTGCGAAAACTGGTATAAAACGTACGAGCCACTTTACCGCGAGAACAGACAATCACTGGCTTGGGATAACGAACGTGGTATTCATTACGTTCCTCAATGAACAATCCTGATGGCAGAGGACAAGTAAGGACGTGAAATGAGATTACAGTATTGGCGGAGAAGAAAGAAAAAAAAAAGAATGAAAGAAAGAAAGGAACTCTGGGTCGAAGATTTTCCTGAAAGTATGACACATGAGTGTGGTGCATCACAAAGGTGTCACAAGTTGGCGGAACTTCTCAAACTGGCATACAAATTAATGTCCAATTGGTTTTTACTTAACCTACAGATATTTATTTCACGAGTATTTATTTGGATGTACATATTAAATCCAGAGATTGAGTGTTGAGTAATATTGTCAGGTTAATCATTTATCACAGACCTTTTGGAATTTTGAAGAAAAGGAAGTGTACCTCCAACATGCGTCTGTTACTTAGTAACCATAATGATGTCACTAGGCCGGGTCTCTCTCTTTTAGTAATAACCACGTGACACGAAAAGGAAACTTTATGAAGCTATTATTTTCCAATCGGAATTTAAACGCAGGATGAGAAATATTTTCCTAGTGAGTAACGACTAGCAAATGATGCGCCCAACAAAATTCTAATAGGGTTTAAGGTTATGAATTCATCCAATCCTTGCTGCATTTTATCTCTATCGGCGCGCGTCTTTGGCCCATTTACCCGCAAATTTCCATGATATGATTCCAAATTCTCCCTTTTAACTATCACAAGTTTCTCTGTACATAAGTTCTGAGAGTTTGTTAGTAAATCTAGATAACAACCTTAAACTTCTTAGGTTGTCTCTTATCATAACCTGTTCATTAGAGGATGAATATTTATTTCAAGGATTATTTCTTGCCGGTTCTGAAAGTTGATATGCCTCTTTGCTTCGTAGACCGAGACAGGCCGAATGGTTTGCACATTAAACTCTGGGTTGAAAGTTACTAGGTCGAGGGGTGTGGGTGGGTGTCATTTCATTGTATCCTGTTGATGAGGAGACACTCGGGTTTCACAGTCTCTTTCTCTCTCTCTCTCCACTCATGAGGGAAACTGGGTACCAGTTAACTATCAGAAAAACTCGACTGAATGTTGGGGTGCTAGCTGCGAAGGATCAGCACCCTATGCTCGCAGAATAAGCGTAATCACTGTAGCTTGACGCTACAAAATCAAGATCATCTCGGTAATCTAACAGCACTGCGAGTCAATTGCTTTTTTAGTCTTTATCTTTACTCTCGTGATCATTTTTAAATGGGTGCTCTCAAATTTCATCCGTACTTGATATTCCGCAAGACCCTTAGAGCAAGCGCAAAGCGGATAACCTACTGACTCTAGTCTGTCTCAGTTATCAATACCCCCGGGACTTTTGGTTACCCCGAGGCCTCAATCCTGACCCTGTTTAAGAAAAAATCCGTCCATCTCGCGACCCTGTCAAGACAGTAACCCAAAGCATATACACCACAGGAAGTCAAGTCTAACTTAATTTTTTAAATTAGATTTTGAAAAAATAGTTGGAATCGTGCACGAAGAACGCGCATTACCAAAATCACGCAGCGATCAAGGTTACCGCTCTAGAAAACTGCCTGGTGAGGCATTGAAAAGTAATACTGCATACCCTCCTAGGACTCAAGATCCCTTAACCTTACCTTTTTCGGCGTTACACACTCGTTTAGGCTAAATCTAGGAGAGCACCCTCTTCTCCACCCCACCCCTACCCGGATCAAAACTGATATATTCCTTTGCTTTGCCAAGACTGTGAGAATGTCACGGGATTTTGACCCAGTGCCCTTGTAAGTTGACAACAAGGCTCGTTTTAGATAAAAAGAATTCCATACTTCTGCTATCGTTACACCACATCCGGTTCACCAGTTGTGCAGGTTTCCTGTCGTACTCATCCAAAAAGTCTTTTTTCGGCTAATCGCTCCGTCACACGCTGATACGAAGCTAAGATACACGCATGCCTTTTCTAAGTTATATTTCAATATTTTGTTCACAAACATTAAGGTTAGAATAGCCATTGTTCAGTTTAGCGGCGCACATCAAGGTGAGCGAGTTTTGAAACAGCACTTGTTTAGGCTTGACCCGACAAACTAGACATTTGATCGTCATATTGCAGTCGCCAACAAGCACATCGTTGTTATATAACAATAAAGCTGTGTTGGACAGTCATCGATTTTCGTCCAACTACGAAGTCAGTTAAACTTTCAACAAGCTAGTACTTTCTTACTTCAAGTTCGTATGAGGAACAAGAACGTGATTTGCTTATTATACGTCAAACTACGTCACCATTGGCTCGATTTTTGCTCCTGCTGCACATTGTACTTCGCTTCTTTGCTCAATATTTTGTTTATTTTTGGTTGTGATGACGTTATCATCATAACATGATATTAGCCTGCGTGTCGGCTTTCTTCGTTCTCGACAGGTAAAGCAAAAGAACATGATGAGTTAAGGAGGATTGAAAGATGACTCCAGAGTATATTTGCGTGTGGTATAAGCTTAAGTTCTTCGCGCACGTAGATGGAAGCTCGCGCGGTTTAAGTGCAATAAGCCGCGTTCGAAATCACAGCTGAAACCAGTACGTGGGACGACCGTTTATGTAGGATCATTAAACTCCGTTGCATTGTCATGTGATGCGTTTGAGAAAGCTTTGTAACTAGAGTTTTCGGTGGGCAAGGCTCTCCACGATTTGGACTTTTCCCATTTTCAAACTTACGCCGCGCAATGTCGGCATTCTTTTACATAATTGCTACAAGTATCTTCGGAGTGGCTGTCCGACCTCGCGGTCATTTGGCCATTTAGATGGAGGGAGGAGGGGGTATTCTATTTTCTAAGCGTTTTGGTTTTATCAATTATTTCAATGTGCCTGTTGGTATTTTTGTTTTAGAGAAATTGACTTCTAAGTATGATGGGAAAACAAATCATATTCAGTTAAGTTTTGGTTCGAGTTAAGGTCTAGACAAGACGAACCCACCCCCTCTCCCGCACGCGCATGGCACGCGAGGTCACAAGTGGGCATCGAACGCGGCCAAGTATAGTTCGTGGGCGTGTCAACTTTCACGAGCCGGCTTAATCGCGTTTAATTTACAAGGCATTTAAATTCGTCTGAAAGACCGCTTGTTGTATTGACCTGTATGGCTGCATTCCTTCAAGAATTTATTTTATTTTCACCGCTTTTTATGAGAACTTAAATGATCGGGATCCATAAGAAGCTATTAAAACTTACTTGGAGCGAAAATAAAACTTTCTCTTTAGACAACAAAGTCCCGGTGAAACACTGTAAACGGCCCGCGTGTTATTTTTCATGTAGGCTTGTGTTTTCAAAACAATCCCGATATTCTGCGGATAACATTACTATGAAATTACCTGTCTTTATTTAATCCGGCCAGATGTAGGATCGAACTAACTGGGGACTTATTTCGATCTAAAGAAAAACTGCGGTTTCGTAGGACCATTTGATGTCTTTTTCTTAAAGCTTAATGGCTAATGAAAGACCTCCTCGAAGTGTAGCACGTATTTTTGTACTCAATGAAGAACAACAACGGCTAATACAGTTAATAAAGTGACCTAGCTTCAGCTTGGTATGATGGAAATTTGGAGAATTTCTAAGTATGTTCATATAATGACCGAGGTTATTTTTTCAACATAAGTTTAGAAAATATTGTACATGTTTGCCGATGAGTTCACACTCGGTTTTACAAGTCAATTATCAAGTTTTATTTCTATATGAACTTTATGTCTTTAAGTTATCTTTTATGAACGGTTTTATTCCCAAACCACATTTATAACGAACTGATTCATCGTTACAATAGCTTTTGAGTAACAAATTTTCCCCCCAGGAGCAAATTTCGTCTTCAGACCATGTTAAACGGCTGTGTGATATCGCGCAGAGGTTTTTAATGTAATGAAAATTTGTCCTCGGACTGCGAAAGATAAGTCAATGCGGGGCACACTAAATCATTTTCATTGCTTAGTGCAGCTGATCTGATTCAAACCTCGTTCGTGGACTTTCAAAGCGTTTGACAGATCTTTATTTTTTCAAATTACACTCTTAAACAAATGCTGTTTGCTTGGTGGCTTCAGCGCTGTTTATGGCGTTGTCCGGAAAGGCCGAATTCTGGTCGAGATATCTCAGGCTAATATTTCATGCTTTTTAAGAAGATTATAAGATAGGGAAATCACTATGATACGAAGTTTGTTCGATTTCAAGCTCACAATTATAATTATAAATTATTTGAGTTTGACATGAAGGTATTGCCTCAGGCATGATGTCTCTGTTTTCTCAAACTTCTAGGTCGGAAAAATTAGCGAAGTCTGTAAAATCCGAAAAATCGCAGTCATGGTACAAAATAAAGGTGTTCGAATTCGTGTGCATATTTGCAAGCATCCTTTGAAAAAGCTACATTGAAAAGCAGCATAACCTTAACCCAGTCTTTGCTACCAAAAGCCATTTCCGATCAGAAACCTGAAAGACATTTAAGGGGACATCATGTGAACATCATAATATCCAAATTAATAAAACAGTCTTCAAGGAAAAATTATTGCCTTAAAAACTGTTCCTCTTAAGTACTGTGTAGGCCGCGTATAAATTAAAACTTGGACAAGTTTAAAGTTTTAAGTATCTTAGTATGCTCACGGAAGTTTCATATTTAGATGTCTTCTTGCCGTATTAGAATTCTTCTAGAATTTAATTTTTTTGGAACAGCTCCACGATTAGCCGTAACAGATTTATAAAATCGGTAATAATAAGTAGCGTATGTTATAAATTTTCTTCTATCTAAATTTACGTTTAACTTAAAAGAGCTCAGTGTTTTTCATCCAACATTTAAGCAGTAAACGAAACGAGAGAAGCGTTTCTGGAACTCAGAGTCAATTTATATTTGGTTAAAATCTAATTTGAAGATCGAAACTTAATTTCAAATAGCTTAAATTTAGTTCAATGGAGGAAAAGCATATTCCTTGTTTGTCTCGGCGTGATTTATTCAAGGTTTTTCCTTTTTTTTTTGACGGAAGAAGACATATGCACTTCCTATCTGACAAAATTTTTAAAAGCTAATATTGTCTCGATGGTGTTTAACCCAATTTACTTTACGAAAACCAACTGGAAAGTTTGTTGTGAAATAATTTATATATTACAACGTCTCTAAGGTGCAGGAAATTTAAGTTTGTTCGAAATCTTCAGCAGAGCTTTCACCGAAAAAGCAAGAAAATTTTCGTTTATAACTTCTCATCAAAAGTCATGTTATGAATATCAACATGGTTGAAAACGGAACAAGGAAGATTTTGTTCATCGTCATGTGGTGTTTCAATTTCTCCTTTGATATGGACTATGACAACGAGACGACACAAGCGTGATTGTTATTGATTTAGTTAAAGCAATTTTTCATGTTGTTTTCTCTCTCGTGCGATACTGAGAGTTTGTCAAATGCTCTTCCAGATTTTTCGTTTAAGCAGCTGCGAAAGGGTTTACAGATTGGGAAATAGGATTATTTACATTTGTGAGAACTGACCTTTACGGGCCAATTTAGAAGGAATTTATGTAAAATATTACAATATTGAGCTGTGATACTGTTCTTATTTCGGAACGTGACAAGAACCATTTATTTTGAATTTACACGATCATAACAATTCATGATATAGAAACATGAATACTGCAATAACCAGTCTGAAAATGTCTTACTTTTCATGGCCTCGGCGCGCTTCAAT